AACATAAGTGTTAAATCCTGCAGATTCAAAAGACTTCTCACTTCTCTCAAAACAGCAATTTGGAAAGTGTTGATTTCCTCCATTCAGTCTCCTGCCACTGTTCTTCTGCTACTACCCTTCCCTACCCACAGCACTTGATCTCAAGCCACAGAACTCATTCCTGGAGTTCCATAGGCTGCTGACCCTGTCTCATCTTTCCTCACATCTCTGCAGGACTGGGGCATGATGCTATCTGAGGCTCAGTTTTACCCTATTGGCTTCCACATCCTTCTGACTTGGTTTGTCATTTAATCATTTTGATTAATGCTTGTTTCCCTTTACATGCAAAGTACTACACTACATCATCCTGCTGTCTACAACTGCCCCAGACTCAGTTTTGCTTGAAACCCTAGCTTTATCTCTTCAACTCCTTTCTCTGTGCATAAGTAATTTAGACGTAAATGTAGTAAAGAACACCGTGTACTGTTGTTCATCTCTTTCTAGGGACATTACTTTGTCCTCACACTTCACCCCAAAATGCGGAACAGGAAATACTAATGCTAAAGACTGGCTAAAGACTGTTTACCACACCAAACCCTATGGCATTCAAAACTCATTAAGTGACCTCTGTCCTGACCTACATTGATTGATTAAAGCCTAGCATCCTTTGTCAGGTAGGAGATACCAAGGGCAAGATAATCTCTCGAACCTGAGGTTAGATTGCTGCAAATTTACATGAACATCTTTGCTGTGACTCACTTGTGCGCACAGTTCCACATGAGCCACAGCCCAATGCAAGACTTGTCTGTGTTACGCAAGTCTCTGATCATGTGTTTTAGAAACAGCAGATCATATATATTATTCCTCTGATCTAAACCTCTGTTGCAGTGTGTATGTAAAATTTTGGACAACTCCAACTGCATTTAGACACTAAACATCTCAATTTATCCTAATTCACCCTCACATCTAAGCTGATATTTTCTTAACTACCGATACAAGTTGTTTTTCCTATCTAGGTTGCTAAGAAAATGCTTGGAGATTAGAGTGAGGGACTTTGCAGATCTGGGTAGGAAAAGGGATGATGTGACAGCTTCAAATAACTACAGAATCTGAGAAAAGACCTCATAGCTTTTAATCACATGCTGTTTAATTTTTTTCCAAAACCCAGGGGGAGAGTAATCTGGCTGTGGCTTCCTTTTAAGCTGGCCTCTTCTCTGCATGCTCTCATGTTTGTAAGAATTACCTTGAAACACTGACAAATCAGAAGACAAAACATTTTTAACTGCAGTTGAGCCTCCTCAAGGTTACACTTAGGTGTTTTTGCATGAAATTTAACCACTCAGTTTCTGTAAAAGTACAGGAAGACTCCAAACACTTTGTCTGACTGCAATAGTTGATACCAGTCTTTTCAAAGCATTCTGGTGATACACGCTCTAGTTGTGTTATGATCTTATTCGATCTGCTTCACTTGCTCAAGAGCTCCAGTAAGTTATTTCTTAATCCTTTTGAAAACCAGCTTGCTCTCCAAAGATGTTTGTAGTGGAACAGCTTCCTATTATGGAACCTCAAGTTCTTTTTCATCTGAAAATACAGATATCTTATAATATTACCTATTTATTCTTCCTTTAGGAGTAAACTGCTAACACACACACACACACACAAAAACAAACAAAAAAAAAAAAAACACTTGACAAGTTGTAAGCTAAGAAGCAGTAATAAAGTAATAAATGTTTTTTCCTCACGCTCCATGGCGCAACAAAAAATCCTTCTGCAATTATAGCTACGTAATTTGACAACTCCCTAGTTAAACAAATCTTTACTGCTTTGCCTTCTTCCCATTGTCTGTGATGTTTGTTCATAAAGTTTCTTCTTAGTAAAAGTCTAGGATTAGTCAAAACCTTCATTGCCACATCCCCTTTAACATCAGGGCTAGGAATGAGGAACAACCTTCTGGCTGCTAACGCAAAGCCATGAGAAAGACCCTGCATTCCTTAGTAGGATTTGTCTACCTCAGTGCAATAAGGAAGAAAAATACCCCCCCTTGATCCATTACTTGTCCACTTTCCCCTCTCTTGTTCATGGACTAGTTTAGTTTAAGTTGAAAGCCAACGGTAAAGATGTACTTCTTTCAAGCAGACTAGCACTAGGAATAAGGAGTTAATTTCTACTTTTTATCTTTCATTGTCTTTACTACAGAGAAGGACAGAATATTTATCTTCAGCAATTAGATTTACATTTTAAAAATAATATGTAATAATATGTTTCCCAGTAATGTTTTATTACTGGGAAACATATACCCCTGAGGTACAATGAGATAACCTGGTGGCTAAGATCTGACATAGGATAGGGCTGACCACCCCATGCCTTTGCACAGTACTACTTGTGAGATTTTGTTTTTGAAAAACAAAAAACATAAAAACAAACAAACAAAAAAAACCAACAACAACAACAACAACAACAACAAAAAAAAAAAAAACAGAACTAAGCAGTAAATTTTTTTTGTTCTTCAGTTTTCTCCTTAGAGCCACCTTTTCCTCCTCTTTTCCCCTTGCTACCATACTGCCAAGCAACATGGAGCAAATTTCATCCATAGGATGAGGACCAAAATTATTCCTCAGTATAGGGAGAAAATGGAGGGGACAAATAGGCAATATGAGGTTGGCAATACTAGAGACGGTGCTTACAAAGAGAGCTAATACTGTCTGGACAAGGCCCCTGGGAAGTTGCTTGAGAAGCAAGCAGGGCTGCATGTATAAGCTCACAACATCTGGCTCCCCGCGTCCCTACCTCCTGGTCCCTACTAGTGGTGCAGAGGCAGGCTTACCATCTCACATCTGATACTAATGGAAACATTTGGATTTTATGCACATTTCTACTCATCCTCTTGTATTACTATTAAATACATTCACTGTGAGCAGTCTAAAAATGTGAGTGAATTACTTACTGCCAAATTAAGGGTCTCTGCCAGCCTAGCTTCTAGTTTTGCAGTCTTAACAAATTTTGTACTTTTTTGTACATAGCGCAACTGGACTTTTCTAGATATTCCAAGTCAAATATTTTGGTTACTGAGATGTTGTCCAGCACTCCAAAACACTGGAGACAGCAGATGAGTATTTTTGAACAAACATACAGAAACAAATATACAAAAAGTTTGGAGTCAGTCAGTAAGCAAGCCTACCACCTGCACTTCTTGTATCACCAGTCACTGCCTCCTAAAGATTGGTCTGAAGTGCCGAAAGGGCATTTGAGAAAGGGATTTTATAGGCCTTGGGGTATTGTTCATCTCAATGAAGCATCATGAATCAAAAATTTACTCCAAATTAATTGACAAAAAGTTATAATGGGTTTATTTTTCTGATTTCCTTGACGTACTTCATACAGTTTGATCATTGCTTGCTTTTCACACTATGTGCCTAGGCAAAGACAAAGCAAATTGCAGAAAGCAGCTCTTTCTTCTGTCTTATGACTCAAAAGATAATGAATAAGAAGAGAAGAGATACAGAAATCAGAGCCTGAACTTAAGCCTTCAGTAGTATTCTGTGTTTTTTAGGAGAACAGCATAAATCTTCATAAGAAAATCTTTTCTCCATGAATTGCCTCAACACACGTAGCATATATAATACAGAATTAAGCCCCTTGACTGAGAAAGGAATGTCTTCATTGTTTTTAGAAGGATATATGCTGCAAAGATTTCTCAACCCTGCTGTCCTGCCTTCCAGTTAAGGAAAAAAAAAATATCAGTTTTTAAAATGTGTGTAGATATAAACTATACCCCATAAGACCCAGTGTAGAGATTCCCATTAACTTGCACAAATATTTGATCATTTTTCTTACAAAGATGGATTCAAGAGCTGCAAATATCTATTGCACATTTCTAGATACGTTACTACATATGCTAAGAAACACCATATCAGTCCCTTTTTTCTTTAGATCTTACTATTGTAAAAATTATTTCTTGTGTAATGGTTAGAATGTTTATGCCAAACCCCAAGTTTATAACTCAGAATTTGTGCCAAGGACCTGAAATTACCTATGATTTATTTTTTTTTTTAATATAATGAGTATTTTACTCTACTTGAAGACAGAAGCAATTTGCAATAAAGCTACTTGCCAAGTTAGCATATGATTAATCTACGCTTTCATCAATTAAAAAAGCATTAGAGTACCTCTGAGGAGTTCAGTGGTTACAGAGCAATGCCTTCAGAAGATAAAATTGTGGTATTACATGCATAGCCTTCTCTCAGAATCAGAAGATTTCCCTTAAAAACAAACCTTTGGTGAATCTAAACAGACGAGTGAGCGGTGGGCATCCTCTGCTGTGCTGGCATGCAAGAGAAGCAATGAGAAAGTGAAGAGTTTCTTCTCCTCCCAGTCAGTAGACAGGAGTCAAACAGTATTAGGAAGACAGCCAACCCCTATGTTTGCAAGTTGGATTTCAATCACTGCACTGCTGATGGAGGTGGGGTAGGCGTGCCTGCCGTCTCCACTGTCTAGAAGTTGCTAAGGCCTTACAAGTATAGCAGCCAAATACATAAATCACACCTCTCAGTTCACCAAGTCTTCCTCTGTCCAACACATTCACTCCCCCATGGGGATGATAGGTACGTAGCTATAAGTTTCTGAAAAGGAGGTAGGAGCTGAATGGTAACTAAGAAATAAAGTTAGCCAACAGATGAAGAGAAACTTATAGCATCTAAGCTGATCTGTTGGCTTAATATTAAGCAATTAAGTATACTAGAACAAATATGAGAGAACAAAGATCAGCGTAGTAAGACCTCAAAGAAAGCATACTTTTTTGTTGTTGTTTCATTAGTTTTCCTGTCAATAGGTCAGTTTTACTGCATTGAAAGCCTTGTAAAGGCAAGAGCACTCCGAAGATCTTAGGGCTAATAAAAAGAAAACGGTTTCCTATATTAGACATTAAAACTTTGATACAGAATTGGTATTCATTGAAACATCCAGTTCTGTACTTGCTTTATTTTATTTTATTTTATTATTATTATTTTTTAATTAGGTCTTACCTTACAGACAGTTCTGATGAAGAAACAAGCTGAGTACCTAAAAAAATAAACACACCTAAGAAATCCTGCATTTTATACCTTTAGTCACATGTATGCTAATAAGTTATTTACATTTGGAATGTACTTCAGAATCCCGTTTTTTCCTTCAGAGTTCTTTTCAAATCACTTTGTCATTCCCTGCCTGAACTTTACTGGAACTCAGCCTTGGACTCACAACTGTCAGAGATTAACAATTTCCACTGACTCGGTGATATCCAGCCAAAATGACCACACACTGCTTGAAGAGGTGCTGATAGAGAACACTGTTGTATTTACATTAGTGCCTCACTTAAGAGTTTAAGTGTGCTTCCTCTAACATCTGCCAGCCCTTCTGGCTTCAGTCCAGGGAACTGTAATAGCAGTGCCAGTAACACTTATGGGCGATACAACCTTTTTCCCAAAGAGTCATTATCACTGACATTAAATATTTACATAGTAGTGACTACAAGCCCCAGGATTAGCATTCTACTTCACTATCCAGGAGATAAATAGTTCCTTAGCAGGGAGTTTAAGGTACTTTGAGTCAAGAACATAAGGTGAGAACAACAAACAAGAGAAAGGATAAGTCACAGATATTCAGGAGATACATTTAGATCTCATCCTGCTGGAAGTTCCTGATGGGCATGCTGAAGGATTATTCTGAAATATAGACAATTTTATCAGTAAGCACTGAACTATTATGATAAGTTTTCAGGACTGTGGCTGAGCCATGAACAATTTGCCAGAGATTTTGTCTCAAGTTACTGCAACTTTTTTAGAGAAAAGTGTATAACATGGACAGTGAGTCACAGAGCATGGCACTCAGTTTGCCTCTTGTAATCAAGTAACTTGTATGGCTTTTGAGCTTTTGAAGCTCAAAAACCTTCTGTGAGCACAGTGACAACAGCCATTCTTCATGTCTTTCTTCAACAGTCTAGCACTACTGGAAAATCATTCCCTTTCCTCCAGTTCTTGCATAGATCAGGCTCAAACTAGGGGAGATACATGTAGATAGGAGGCCAGAGAAGATACTGCTCCATCCTGTCCTGATGATGCTACCCAGTGTGCAACAAGGAAGAGGAGGTTTACTAATCATAGCTAAGGGAAAGCTTGGGGCTATAGCAGAACTAGTTACAGCATTCTGGTACAGAGCCTAGGATACCCCCTTTTCAAATGATCACAAGAAATGCTGTTGTCGATGTAATCTTTTGCAGAGCAACACAGTCTTCAGCCCTCCAAGAGAAACCTGTAGCCTGTGACTTACAATGAGAGGTAGTTGGGGTGAGCAAGCCTTTGAAAATCACTGGAGTAAAGAGGGCATTGAAACTGTTCCTCCACCTATTTACATGGTATGGGCAGTTGTTCCTCCAGTTACATGTCTACAGCTGCCTCTTTTTGTCACTTCAGGACTTATCTGCTGTATTAAGGTATATGATAAGTATACCTGCCTTAGAGCCTCCCAGCATGTTCAGAGGTGATTGCAGGTTGAGACCATTTCTCTCACTTTAGACCAGACTGAGAGCACTGTGGCTATTGCAGAACCAGCAGCCATCTAGAGAAAATTAACTATTGTGCTTAGGGCTATCAGGTTCACACAAGAGAGTTTAAAAATCAAAATTGGCTGAGCTTTCATAAGATCAATTTTGAATGTTCAAATTCCATCTAAATCCTGCAGTGAATTAAACCTAATATGCCAATTAAAACCCCATATAATCCTGTTAATTCACAGTCACCAACTGACCATTTTGCCAGCCCGGAGTCAGATTTACAGGAGATCAGGACAGAGAGCTCTCCAAACTGGCTCAGAGACAAGAGACAGTGTTAGGCACACCAGTCCACATCGGTCCAGCGGCCACAGAGCTGCAGGTGGGGACAGAGCTGGCACAGCACAGAGCCAGAGCCTGAGACCTTACCTTCCACTCGGCTGGGGGTTGTGCCAACTCACAGCACTGGTGTGGGAGTCTCAGCGCTGTGCTCCTATAGACCCTGTGGAGGAAGGTGTAGATAGGAAAATATGGGCCATGCATAGACTGCACAACAATAAGACAGGGAGATTTTTCCTATGAACATTAACAAGATAACACGCTGAAAATGTTGAGATAGCAGGGTAAGAATAAAGGGCTGTAAAACCCGCTTTGAATGGATCAAACTGAGCTGAAATAAAGACTGGCAGAACACAGCTGAAGACAGCATATAAGTATTTGGCCCAGTGATTTACCTCTGACCACAAGAGAGAGCACACTGGTGTTCACTGATGTCTCCTGTATCAGATTGCCTTCTCTGTGGAATTGCTGGAGAGTTAACAAGGCTTTATAAGAGCACAGTACCAACTCTACCCCATATCCCCTTGCTCAAAACAACAGCAGCCTTGTACATACATATAAAGCCACTCTACATTCAGATAAGTGAAACCCTAGAAGAGAAGTAAAAATCCAAACCTAGCTCTAGTGTGTAATATTTATATGTTGAAAGTTAAAAACTTGTTGACAGTTAAAAACTTGGCTATTAAAATCATCTCTGTTTCTTTCTTAAGAACTATGCACAAAGATTTAGTTGAAATTGTAAAAAGCATGAGCCATATTTAGTATTTCATAATGTGACATATGTAACAGATACTTCTGCTCCTTTCTATTACTATTTGCATTGTTTGTTTCTTTATTCTACTTCTTAAGAAGATTACCTGCATGTAAAACACAGTTTAGGCTTACATAAGAATTTCTTGCTCTAACACCCCTTTTTGACCCTAATAAATACATGCTAATGTGAGAATTTTTTAAACTAGACCAGATTATACTAATAAATATGCTCCATTATGCATAATGTAATGAATTAAGATTTTGTTGAATAAAAATACGCCTTTGGGATTTTATGGTAAATGATAAATTTTATTGAAGAATAAATTGTGGTTAATTATCTGTCTCAAAGGATGGGGCTTCTGGGGTTCTTATTGCTAATGCAAACAACCACAATATCAGCTATTCATCAACTGTAGCATTGAGAATGTTATCCAAAAAAAGAGACCCATCCTGGAATCTATGCAAGTACTGTTGGCTGGTCAAGGAACATATATATTTTAGAGTTTCAAGGTATATTATATATATATATTTAATACCATTTATCATTTCTTAGCTATATTTCTTATTCAATCTAGAAAATATATTCTGAGTAATTTTCACAGAATAAAAGATGATAGGATGTGTGCAGATGAACATATAAGCAGAAGAACAACCTGGAATCTGATGTGAATCAATGTATTAGCAATGTTTTAAAAATTCCTGTAAGTTAAACCCTTATCTAAAATAAAAGACAAATGTTTTGATAGTATCAGTCAGCATGTAAGAAGCATGGTCATGACTTTTACATACATGTAGATTGCAGCCTGTGCCATCATGCTAAATATACATAAAGTTAAAAACAGTGCAAAATAACCATCCATCTCCCCTGCCCATACATACATGCTTAACATACTAGCTCAGTATGCCCCAATTCAATATCTCAGCTTATAAGTAAATATATAAATAAGGCAGGAGAGAACTACCAACTATATTAGATACAGTCTTCTACTTACTATAGTTTTAATTCAGGCTGCCATCCTTTCTCTTACACACTCTTCCACTAAATAATCAGCCTTTCCTCTTAAGCAATGCTAACTCTCTTTTATAGTACTACTCCATCCTAAATTCAGATAAACTGACTAATTAAGCAAAGCAGTTTAACTGCATTCCCTCTGCTGAAGTGTTCCTGGAGGGGGAGGGACTTGACCTCAGTCTGAGAGGAAGTTTCACACTTGGTGGCTCTTGGGGCAAATGGACCTGTTTCCTCAAGCATTTTTCTGTCGATACAGCTGTTGAAAATGATTTAAAATAGAATACAAAACGCATTCAATTTATATCAAAGCTAACCAAATAAAATAATTGTTGTTTATTTAGTATTTTCAAAACCTCTTGATTTCAAACACAGTAAAATTAGGCCAAAATAAGCATTAAAAAAAAAAAAAAAAAAAACAAACAGTCAGTGATTTCAGTAGATGAGCTAACCCTAAATTCTTTCAGAAGTACCTATCTTTTACATTTAAGCTCTGGTCCATGGTAGGGATTTAGCTACTCTGAGGTAAGGAAACAGATCAGTAAACAAACAATTCCCAAAATAGATTCAAAAAGAAAACTTATGGCTTGAATATCTTGTCATTAATTGGTTAGTTAATTCTTTAGTATTCTCAGTGATCTCCATATCACTTATACATATTGCTCTGTATAAGTACATTAAAGGAGGCTGTAGAGAGGTGGGGGTTGGCCTGTTCTCCCATGTGCCTGGTGACAGGACGAGGGGGAATGGGCTAAAGTTACGCCAGGGGAGTTTTAGGTTAGATGTTAGGAAGAATTTCTTTACTGAAAGGGTTGTGAGGCACTGGAACGGGCTGCCCAGGGAGGTGGTGGAGTCACCATCCCTGGAAGTCTTCAAAAGACGTTTAGATGTAGAGCTTAGGGATATGGTTTAGTGGGGACTGTTAGTGTTAGGTTAGAGGTTGGACTCGATGATCTTGAGGTCTCTTCCAACCTAGAAATTCTGTGATTCTGTGATATGTCTTAAAATGTGATTACAGAAGAAAGACTAGTGGTAAACTGGGCTGTAAGTCAAGAGAAGTGATAATGGATGATGACATTTTTTGTGATGATGCCTCTGCAGTACCATGTTAAGCTCTGGGTCCCCTGGCACATCAGAGTGATGTGCAAATGGATGGGAGCTCATCTGAGGATTGCAAAGGTGCTTCAAAGGTTGGAACATCTGACATGAAAACAGAAGCTGAGGGAGTTCCAGGCTTGCTCAGTCTGGAAAAGAGGGGTGAATTTAGGGGTGAATTTAATTTCTGTCTTCCACTTCCTAGCAGGGGGAAGACCTAGAGATGACATAGTTAAATTCTTCTTGGAGGCAATGATCAATGACCAAGTGCAGAAGGGAAAGTCCTAGTTGTATATACATTTAAAAAAAAAAAAAAAGTTTACAATAATTGGTGAAGCTTTAGAAGAGGTATCTGGAGAAGTGCTGGCCTCTGATCAACCTAATTTAAGTATGATTTTTGCTTCACATTGCTAGTCCAGGAGTCTGGCCTATGTGGACTCCAGAGGTCCGTTCCAAACAAAATTATTTTGTGATTCTATGGTAAGCATCTTTTAATAGGCATAATTATATATATATATATATAAATTATTATGCCTATCATATAATAGGCATAAATATTTCTGATTAGTTCTAGGAATTAAATCAAGTCTTGAGAAAAGCACATTAATACCCACAAAATATGGCAGGCTGTTCATAATTTTCCACTGGACTTTGAATTGTTGGGCTTTTAACTAATCTAAAGGAAGGCCTCACTGTAATAGACCCTTCCTACATTTACAAGGAACAGCTAATCTGTTGTCTCTCCCTCTCTGTATTTCATTCTTCACCAAAATATTTCCCCATCACATTTTATTAGTAGTATTTTTTTATTTCTGTAGTATGTGATATGCCTACAAGTGACCTGGAAGTCACATATATATTTATTTTATTTTATTTTATTTTATTTTATTTTATTTTATTTTATTTTATTTTATTTTATTTTATTTTATTTTATTTTATTTTATTATTTTATTTTATTTTATTTTATTTTATTTTATTTTATTTTATTTTATTTTAGCAATTCCAGAGCCATAGGAAAGATAGTAGTTTGGGAAGTTTATTCCAGGCAACTAACAAAATCATTCTGTAATCAATTGATTTATTGATAGATCTAAATTAGCAAGCCTATTAAAGTGTAGGATATTGAAAGATCAGGACATATTTGAGAACTCTGTGTGAAATAATAAATGTAGTGTGGACTCCATGACCTTAAGTAGTATTTTATTTCTGCTTCATTTTGTACCCTGGCTGCACTGCAGATAAAGCCAGTTATTGCTACAGTCTAAACACGGCTTGTGATAACTGTTTAGATGATGGCCTGAAATTTAGAGTTGAATAATAATTAAGAATTGTTTTCCTATTAGAGATTATTTTGACTATGCAGCTGATAAACTAGAGCAGTTCACAGAAAGAAAGTCAAGACCTGTTCCCACCCTCGCATTAACCTAATTCTGGTTTACTCCATCGCAATTATATAGGTTACTCAATTAGATTGTTATATATCTTTATCTCTTTTTTCCTTCTATTTGTGTTTTCAGTTTTCTCTCTTTTTAGTCCAACTACATTCAGCATTGGTGTCATATCCTCTTCTTCATTCCCTATAGTTAGGCACCCACATATCACACATGCTCAGGAAGAGCCCTAATCCACTGAAGTCCTTACCTTTCTTACACAGTGTCACCCAGCTGTCCTTTATCCTGGCACAACAGGCAAGAAGCTGGGATGACAGCCCTCCTGGCCACCCAATGCCCTCTTCTCATGAGAAGAGTCTTGGCTCTTTACTCATTCTTTCTTGGTTCTTAATTACCTGCCTCCCTTTACTTCTGCCTTTGGTAGTTGTTCGACCCCCAGCCAGCTTGCTGTCCTTCAGCTGTTCATCCCAGTCACAGAATGGCTGAGGCTGGCAGGGACCTCTGGAAGTCACCTGGTCCAACCCATGCTCAGGCAGAGCCACCCAGAGCAGCTTGACCAGGACCATGTCCAGACAACAGGTCTGTTTTCTGCTCCAGGACGAGATCTCCTAGTATACTGTCCCTTCTCACAGAGCATGCAGAACAATTCAAGATGTTTGTTTTTCCCTTAAGAAGAGGAGTATGAAATCTGAAGAAGATGGTGCCAGAACACATCTGCTAGACTCCAACACCTTCAGTTCTGTTTTGAGGTGATGCAGGCTACATATCTGAGTAAATTGTGGCTGTCCTTTTTTTTTTTTTTTTTTTTTTTTTTTTTAACTTCATCTTTCTGTTTATAGATGGATTTTCTTAACTGTTTAAATACACTTCTCATCAGGGTAGCCTATTTTTTGTACTTACTTATTAGCCACAGTG